TAGAATCCTTTTTTATAGTTATTCAGGGACAGTCTGAAGTCCATAAACCAAGGAATATTAATTTGCTTTGCCAGGCTGCACTGGCAACCTCTGTTCCCAGGGCTCCATCAGCTGGGCACACCATCCCAGCCCCAGCAGGGATGCCAGGGGAGCTGCTTCTAGACCAAAGCCCATGTGCCATACATCCTGGTGGGGCTGGGCAACTTCCAAACACTACTGCTGGCAAAAATCCTACTGTGGGTGCTGAGGGAGCATTCCAGCCCCAGTGGCTTACTTTGGAATGGAGCAAGGCGAGGAGGAGCAAATGCAGCCATCCATGACACTATATTGCATAAAGAGGAGGACGAAAACCTCAAAGCACAGAAGACGGACAATAAAGTTAAAAAGCAACTTAAATGGCATTGTGGCAGCAAGGCTTGAGAGCATTCCACAGGGCACTGCTCAGGGATTCAAGGTGCATAGAGAGGGAATACATCCTGAACGACGTGAAAGCAAAGATGTGGATTGTAGAAATACACATGTGTTACTAAAAGCCACAGGTAGACGCAAAAATAGTGGCCTGGCCATGCCAAAATTATTGTAGTCCATTCTGAGCTCAGTGGAAGTTCCACCAGTGAGAATTCAGTGAAACACTCGCAGCATCAGAGAACGAGTGCGAAGCTCAGTGGAGCTGGAGAGTCTTCCTGCAGAGGAGCAGCCACCGAGCTCCCCTCACCCCTGCCTGGGAGGGGATCCAGCCCAGTGCCTCCCAGCGCTCCCTCTGCTGTCCCACTGCTCAGCACGCCTCAGTGGGCAGCGCCAGATCTGGTGGGGGACGCGGTGTCCCAGGCTTGTCACACCCACCGAGTGCAAGTGGGGAAGAAAGGCTGGTCCCTGCACACAGTTAGTACAGACACAGGAGCTGATGTCAGGCATCCTTTAGTGTATCCATGCGAAAGTCTGAATTTCTCATTGAAAGTTCCCACCTGCCTTTCTCCTGCTGGCCCAAAGAGCAGGCAAAGGTCTGCTCCAGGCACCCTGTGTCTAACAGGAGGCTTTCGAGTGCACACAAGCAGAGTATCAGAAACAATTCCTATTTAGAAAGCAATTTCACTTTAAAATGACTCATGCATAAATTTCAAGACTTGGAGGAAGTGTATTGCACTAATCATTTTCTCAGCAAATTATTAACCATGTTCCAGGTAGTACTGTAAAATGAGGCCCACAGGACCTGTGTGCTCTGTCGTGGGTGTGTTGTCCCCACTGTCTGACTGCAGGGAACCTGTTGCAGCAAAAGTGCTAAAATCACAAGTTGTTTGCACAGTGAATTTCAGTGGCTCTAGACAAAATAATCCCCATTACCTTGATGATCTCACATTTGTGGCTACAGAGGATAAATGCAGAAGTATTGCAGGTCCCTATGTGAGGTGGTTACTGTGGGAGGAGAGGAGCTTGCTGCAACATCTGTGGGAGATTTCGGGAGTGACAGTACCAGGAGGGGCAGGTGGGGAAGCTGTCAGTTTGCACACTAACATCATGGGCTCTCTGGTCATGCCATGTACCAGGATTCACCCTTTTCCTGCAGCCATCTCTACCCTGCATTGCATCCCTACATCTGGCCCGTGGTCCCTTCTACAAGCAATGGCAGAAACAAGACTTCTCCACAACTTTCTGAAGCATAGTGAAGAGAATAGCGTGGTATTCCCTTTCTTTTTAAACTGCAGAGGGTTACATTTAGAGAATTAAAAGTCAGTCTATAAACCTCCCAGAGAGTCTGCTATGTTTAAAAGTGCTGGCAGTGTATGACCAGCAATGTGATATTTTAGCAAGATTTTAACACGAGATTTCGCCTGTGTCTTGGGTGCTACTGCAAACCTCCTGTTGCATGGGTCCTACAAGTGAGAAAACACAAAAGAAAGTGTTTTGTTCTTTCCTCTCTCCTGTGCTACCACAACAAAGCAGAACTGGTGGGGACTGCAGGCAAGGCAGACAAGTCTCATTAAATATTATTTAATGCACTTGGAAGCCACATCTGATAAAACTTACAGAGTGCTGAGCACCACCTCAGCCCACAGCATTTGTTCTTCTAACTGAGTAATGAGTTAATCCAGGAAAGAGAGACAGAGGAAAACCAGCCCCAGAGCTCACACTGGCACTTATCTCCTGCACTTGTGAGTCAGACACAGCAATGATTTGCATGATGCATTCAGCTCTACAGTCTTCAGAGGTGTTGCAAAAAATGAGTTACATGGTTCACTTTTGGAGGGTCAATAGTTTATTAGTCCAGGGATCTCCTTAGTACATTGTCTCTTCTCTGCATGCCACAGCTTTCTCCAAAAAGCCTTCCTAGGGAGAAAGAAGAGCTGTAGCAGATTGTAAAGACCCAGAACACAACTGCTTCCTTCCTCTGCAGCAGCCCTCTGTAGATCCCATTGTCTTCACCAGTACTGCTCCTGTAAGGAGCCCTTTCTCCCATTTGCATCTGAACCCCAAAAAACCCAAGAGAGAGAACTCAGGTCTTTACAGCTTTCCATGGCGTTGATGTTGAAAGGTTTGTATATGTGAGGGTCAAATGCACAGCACATCCATTGATTTTCTTTTACTTAACTAAATTTTATCAATAATTCTCCCAACTCTAAAATCCTGTAGCACCATGCAAATTCACACAGTGCCATATAACGAGTGTGTTTTCTCACAAAGCATAAGTAAACTTCTCTTCATGCAGTTTATCTGTCACAATTAAAGATTACAGAGCTAGACATACTCTGTAATTCCTCTTACAAATCTGATCTATCTTCTTGAGGAGAGCTTTTTATAACAGCTATTTCACTATAATTGGCATTTTGTGTGTTCTTAGACTTCTTTTTTTCTGTACTTATTTTCTTTTATTTTATTTGGACTCTGTGAGTTTTGCCATTTTGGCCTTGGTGCTCTCAGTGCTGTGACTCACGTATTCCACAGCCACTGCCAAATCTCCGGGTCCAGCATTGTAATTATCACATTAGGATCTGTCACTGTAGCCCTGATTTAATAAATAGCAGAACAGTGATTAGAATCGCTGATTGATCCATTCCACAGTTTTGGACACTCACATCTGAGATGAACAGAGGGACTGTTAAAGATGTTAAAGACTTGAAATAGCACTCCTGAGTAAATTGGTATTAATCGGTCATTCCGGGTACACCAGCTTTTATATATAGTAAGAGTTGCTGTGTTTGGTAATCTGATGATGATCAGCTAAAACCATGACTCAGATTAATCTCATGAGCTGCAAGGGAAAGCCCCAGCCCTTCCTCCATACCCAGCTTGCTGTAGCCATTAAGATCAGAGCATAAGATTTGGGTTCCTCCAGGTGGAACTCACAGTGTCCTTCCGGAGTGCACCTCAGGGACCACAGTCCCAGGACATTCAATCCATAGGACCAGACCAGGTTCAAAACAAGAAAAACCCTGAAATGTGCAAAGTGCAGATGCTCAGCACCAGCTCTCTCACCCCACATCCACAGGTCAGAAATAACACAGCCTGGTCTGAGCCACAGCTCCGTGGAGGAGATGCTGCCTGTGGGCTTCACCCCACAGCTTCCCCCACGCTCTGCCTGAGCACCCGTGGCAAGCATGGAGCCTGCAGGGTGAACCAAAGGGTTCCCTGGGACATGAAAGGTGTAGGTATGTGTTTAAATGGTTTTGGTCCAAAGGCAGTACTGAGCTGTTCAGAGACCAGCAGCAGCCCCAGAAGATAGAATTGCAGCAATGTCTGCTTGCTGTGTGTAGGAAAATTCAGGTGACATGCCATGCCCACTGCACAGCTCTTTGTGGCAACTTGTGACATCTTGGGGGAATGGGCCTACCTCACTGGATTTTTTTTTTGAAAAATCATATGTTTTAGAAAGAAATTCTGTTATCTTGGAAGGAGTGGAAAGAGATGAGCAAGGATATGAAAACTTACTGGGCAATTCCAAATTCTTATCATGCCATCAATGTATCCTGATGTCATAATGTTGAACATGGATGGCTTTTATTCCTAAGGGCTGTATGCATGATCAACATGGACATTTTGCATTTCTTCAAAACCTGTTTGGTTTAGATTTGTAGTCTGACAGATATAGAATAGATTAAGGAAGTGTGCTGCTTGCGTACAGCTATACTTTCAGTTCATAAATATAATCTTAAGAATTGATTTGTGCAATTTTGTTTTCATTTTTGAATGAGGTAAAGGTTCTGAGAGTTAAAAAGTTCTGAAAACAAAATTCTCTAGACTGCTCTGGGTTGACTTTAGGTTGCATGCTGAGAGCTCAAAAGCATTCATCCAAAATCCACCAACATGGATCTTGTCTGTGCTTGTTTCAAAAGGGTTTTATTCTGTTCTTGTCAACACTTTATTCTAGATCAGAAATTTCCTTCCAGGGAGATCTTCATACCACACAAGCATTCAGTCATTCTGTAATGGGATGTTTTCCTCCTACAGAACTGCTAAAAGTCATTTCCTCAGCAGAGGAAACTGTGGGCAAACACTCAGCAGGCTCATTCCTGTCCAGAGCATTTGGTACATGAAAACTGTGCAGCCCAAAATGAGGAATCCAAGTCTCACCTTTTTAGTGTTGCACATTTTTGCCTTCATCATCTGAGAAGATGAGCTGCCAGGCTGGAGATTTGGCTTTTCTGAGACACGTGGTCAAAAATGTAATGACTGTACCTCTGACCAGCATAGCCAAGAGGAAAACAGCACAAATATGCCCAACAGCAAGTGAGGATTAGGGCACACCATGCCAGCTACCTGCTTCCTGTCCTTGAATGTAGCATTTCACTTCTCTTGATCTCCAAAACTGGGGTAACAGTACTCATCTACATTTCTAATGTGTTTCCAGGCTAAAGGCTATTCAGTCTGTGTTCAGAGATTTAAGGAATCCTCACTGCACTTCTCAAGCAGAATGCACATGCACTGCACTTCTCAAACTTCCCCAGCATGCACAATATTTCCTGTACTTGAAAACATTCTTAGGGATTTTCTAGTGAGGCTCAAACGCAGTCATATATTTTATTTATTTTATTACAAGGCATGTAAGTAAAAACTTGCATATCTGAAAAAAGATATTAGATAGAAAACAGTAATAAAATTAACATTATTATCTTAAGAAAATTGGTAATAAATACATTTCTCCTCAACATTAAAATGCCTGTTATTTTGCACGACAATAAATACAGCATAGCTCTGGCATAGAGAAAGGCCAAGGATCGATACAAGAAGTCCATGTGGTGGCATAAAAAAGCTCAGGTGATTTTTAAAGGTTTGGCATCCTGCACTTGATGCACTTTGATACAACTTGCACTTTAATTTTACTATGATTTTTAAATAGTCTCATAATATGAAAACATGAGAGGAAAATTTGTTTGACTGTAGGATTTTTCCTTTAAATATTTTCAAAGTAAGAGATGTGTAAACTCACTGAAACTAATCCTCAAAATAAAGAAAAAATACCAAACAGGTGTCTTTGTGATTATTCTACAAAAATACATTTTTTTTCAGCTGTGGGTGCTCAAGCCTGACCAGCCAACTGACAAGAGACCAATCTCCAGTCAGTTCCTCAATTCTTTACATAGTTTTAAAAAAGAAATATTAATAATGAGGAAAAAGAGTAAAGACAGTAGTATTGATTTCCCAAGTTATGGCATTTGAGGTTCTTACACTAGTATCCAAAGGTAAGAGGAGAAAGAATAGGTGTATTCCAGAACAGTTCCCAGCACAATTCTGGGTAATTCTGGTCTATACTTTTCTTTTAAATCTACTGACAAGAATTAAAAAAAAAAAAAAAATGGAAGAGCTATTTCCATGCACTGTGCTGTTCTTATGCCAGCACATATCATCACAATCACAACTGTGAACCTAAGTCACTGATAGCCCAATCTAATATAGATTGATTGATTGTCCTATGACAAAGTTAGATAATGTCCACAAAATGCCACAAGCTCTGGCAGAGTCCAGTGTTCTTAAAGTACTGATAGGTCATGGCAAGACTTGGACTTGAGTTTGAAGGCCATGTTCTTGTTGTTCTTGGCAACTATTTTGCCCCAAAAGCGCCTGGCTTTCTTGGGGATGCTCTCTCTCCGTTTTTGTAGTGCCAGCCGCTTCTCGTTCTTCTCCTTGCTGTCCCTGCGGAGCCGGACCTGCCGCACGATGCCTTCGAAGAGCTCTTTGACGTTGTGCTGCACAGCTGCCGAGGTCTCAATGAACTTGCAGTCAAACACCACGGCACAGGCTCGCCCCTCTGCAGAATCACAAGGTGGACACGTTACATGGGGTCACAAGGCCCGGGGCAGGGGGCAGCAGGGACAAGCAGCCATGTGCGGGAATTCCTCAAGCCTGATATAGGCACAGATAAGTCTTTAATGACCTGATGCTGCCTGCTAGCCCAGGATCCATCTGCCCTGTGTCACAACTGCTTCCTGGAGGAAATGGAGGGTGTAGGGTTGGGTAAATCCCCTCCCAGTAAAGCCCAGCCCGCGCTGCTGGCTGTGAAGGTAGCGCAGAATGATGGACTTGAGACACTGAAGGCTGGGAGGCCAGCAGTGCCTCAATACCACCTGGGCAGCTGCAATGCAGACTCCTTCAAGCTGCACTGAAGGGTGATGATGGCATTCTGCAGGCATAGAGCACAGCACTGCAGGCAGAGCACCTTCCTCTTTCATGGGCATGGGTGTAAACCACAGCCCTGGAACTCTGGCAATTTCAGTGAGAACAGACACATGTACAAAACCCTTAATAAAGAGTGTCTATGGCTTTAGGGGTACATCTGAAAGTACAGTTCTTATTCTCAATTACATGAACCTAAGCTAAACCTGACAGGTGTTTTTCATAAAAGCCAATTTCTGGCTTGCAGTGAATTCATTGCCAGGGCCATTAAAGTGACATGGATTGACCTGCCATCTTCCTAAAGAACTTTCAAGCTGGACAAAGAGGAATAAGAAGGCAACCCTGGGCATCCTATGAACCCCTCAGTTCAAGCGCTTCACTTGGGGCAGCTGTGACAGAGCAAGGAGAAAAGTCTAGCTCAACTGGGAAACAGAAGAGCATAACAGCTGCAGAAAGAAGAAAATGCTGAGGAAAAGAACCCATGTTTCTGATGGACCAAGACAAGAACATCTAATGCACAGCTGTGTATTACAGTGTGTCACCTCAGCCTCAGGGAATACTCTCCAAGAAGATATTTTACTGACTGCAGATCGTGAGAGCCAGCAGCAGTGCTCCCAACAGTCTCTCCATTCCTATTTATGGGCTTAGTGGTTATTCATTTGTATGCAGCCAAGGGAAGGCTGATTTAGCATCCCAAAGCAAGGCAATAAGGAAACCTCTTCTGAAAGGCTGCACAGTTCCTGCCTAGACTAGCAAAACAAAGATTGAGAGGGATTTTGAATTTGTTAGGGAGGACAGAGAACTGGTTATAAAGAAGAGAATTTTTGGCAGCAGAATAAAGGGGGCTAAACTTGTTATGCATAAATATGCATTGGGAATACAAAGGGTTTCCAGCTACCAGAGAAATCACATATTGCAGTGGTCATACACTAGGAGCTGGAAAGGAATAAATCCCATTTATGATGGTACTTAATAAATATAGAAAAGGGATTATCTGATATATAACGGTATTACCAAGGAAGACTTAAGGACCTGGCAGACCCTTCCCAGTCCTCTGCCCTCTGTTGCAGTCTGTTTTTATTTTATTACTCTTTTATTGCCTAGTCCTGATCACAATGTACTTCTTCAGCCAGAGCACTGCAGTTTGTCCAAAAGCTACTAGACGACTTTTAATGTTTATATCGGGTTTATGCTCACAATTTCCTTACCTGCCACTGAAACTTCACGGCATCTGACAAGGTCACTTTTGTTGCCAACCAAAATAATGGGGATATCTTCTTTCTGACGTGCCCTGCGGAGCTGTATTCTGAGTTCAGAGGCCTTCTCAAAGCTTGCTCGGTCAGTGATGGAGTAGACGATCAAGTAGGCGTCTCCCACTTGCATGCAGTGGTCTCGAATCCATTCTCCCTCCCGCTGTTCAAATTAAATGGTCAGACATCGTTATGCCCAGAGCAGATTTTACTTAGAAAGTAAAACATTAGAGAATCCAAATGCATTCCTGCTGTAAACTGTAATGGATACAGTTTGAATCACAGTTATACTACAAGTAATTCCAATGTGGTGATGGTATGAATACTTCACCACAAAGGAGGGCAAAAACTTGCCCCAGATAATTTATTGTGCCGGCTTTAGGCTGGAATGAAAATGGTCTGGAAAGAAAGCTTGAATGTTTTGTTTTATCATTAAAAATAAATGAAGACTTGCACTTCTTACGCTCACAGTGCAGAGCCATTAGGCATGCTTGCCTTGATGTGAGGTAGGGTTAATCCTATATCTTCCCTGATTATGCTGTATGGAAACATCTATTTTCTTTCCCAAAGGAAACTTGCTTTGTATATTAGCAGTTATTCATATACACTTTCCTGTCAGCATTTGACTAGAACAAATTAAAGTACCTTGTTATCCCACATATCGAGCAGTATAACAGTCGCACTCTCCCCATCCACCATCAGAGTTCTTTCATACGTGTCTTCTGGAAGGAAAAGCAGAAAGGTTGGTGATACATTATTTTGTGTTATCATACACATTAAAAAATCCAAGTTGTTGAATGTGGGGGATTTGTTCACAGAGTTTTTGAGCCAAATTTTAGGTCGGCTCACATCCAGTTCTTTCCTCATTTCCATCCACACTGAATCTGCACTCTGTCCATTATTGGTTGCCTTACTTTCCATGATAGATGGAGGAGGCTGAAAGATCAGGAAACAAAATGTTCATTATTTTGGCTGATAGTCTCTTTATCTTATGTGGGAGAGAGAAAATAGAACCAGTGGAAGAAATAACCAAAGGCTGAACATTTGCCCCATGGGAGCAGCAGAGTCCAGCAAGGCTGAGTAATGGAAAATATTTGCTTTCACTTTAGCATGGACAATTTACGGGTGAACAGTCACTGCTGCTGAGAGCAGTACAGCAAACAGCCTACCAAGTGAGGAGGACAGGGTGTTGTGAGACAGCAGCTGAGTCTGAGAGAGATTGAGACCTCTGTTGCACACTCCCATTACACAGTTGCCCATATCACTTTTGATGCCAAATAGCAGAAAAATGAAAAAAGCACAGGTCAGTTATTGCTGTGATTTGTATTGCAGCCATAAAAATTCATACCTAGATTATAAATGCCATTTAGCAAAATTCTGCCGTAATCTAAGGGGGGCTGTTGCCACTCTGAATTTTGATCAAGCCTTGCTGTGAAATTTGCTTCAAATACCAATATTTCTTCTTTTCCCCAAAGCTGGGGGTGATGAGCAGTGAGGGGTTTGGACCCATTTCTAATCTCACACTAGTGGCCAGTAAAAAAAAATGTTGGTCTTAAGGTACTGCAGCATTTAAAGAAACTGTCCCAACTACACTTGTAGATAGGGTTGTGTCTAACCTGTCTAACCTCCTAAGACTTCTGCTGTGCACTGATGAAGTGAACTTTCCCCTAAATTGTAATCAGAGCCTTTCTTCAAAGATAGGGATCTACATCCCAGTAAAAGAATAAGCTAAAAATATTACACATTTAAAATAAAGTCAAATGGAGCCCATGCTTTAAAATGTCAAGACTAAAAAGACAGAGCTAATCACTAGGAGTTGTTTCTATTGAGGTCCCAGGAGTATGAGGCTTGTGTTCATGAGTTAGCTTCATCTTACAGTCAGTAGCAAAACCTCTCCATAAAAGCGGCTGTACTCCTTTGTAAGCTGGCTACCCTGAAACTATCCCCTCATGTAATTAAATTTCCAGTGTGAAAGCTAAAGTTCCAGTTTGTAAAGCTAAAGTAAATGTTCCTTCAAGTGACTGAGCGTCTGTGTGAGAACAAGCTCCATGCACACCAGAGGACAAAATCCAGAAGACTCCTTCTGCACTGCATTACGTATAGAGAAGCTACAAATGCATAATCACACTCCTCGAAAATACTATGCCTAAATAGTCATATTCAGCACTCATTTGCACCTTGGTCAGTGCAAAGGAACTTCTATAGAATATAAAACACACAGAAAGTGAGTTCATTTTATGCTGTTTTTGAAGCTGACAGTAAAAAGGGGAGAGAGATAACACCAAGACTTCCAATTATCTCTTCAGAGCTGGCCTTGAAAATCTGTCATTGCTATACTCCAAGCAATGCTGCTGGGAGTGCGATGGAAAGAGGAAACCACATGGCTTCACATGAAGGAAAAGAAAACTGCCTGACAGGGGTGTGCAAAGCAAATCAGCTGCCCTTCCTGATGGCTTGTCCAAGGATCCTACTCTACTTCAGTCATTTTCAGCACTAGGAAAACTTTTATCAGAGATACTCCAGGCTGAGGAGCTGGTAGAAATATGGAAAAAGTTGATGCCAGAAGCTGACGGCGGAGCATGCCTAAATCAGTGTATTTGAAAACCTCCAAAGGCACAAATCTCTGTGTCCCCAGTCTGAGACAGCAAGTACAGAAAATGTGAGTCTGACCTTCCTGATACTGGGCTTTTTTAAATTCTGGGCAAAACTTCCCCTAACTGGAGAGTTAAACACACAGAAAAGAAGCTGTCCTGCCTATGCCCCACTGAAGTCTGGAAGAGAAGCCCAGAAATTCTCTGTGGTAGCACTGGCACCATCACACCAAGGGAATATAGGCAGGAGGCAGAAGACAGAAACAAAGAAAGCCCTGAACAGTGACAAACAAAACCTGGCAGCAAACTGCATGTCCCCTGAAAACAGCAGCAACTACATCCTTGGAGACACAGCAGATTTCTTGGCAGCACAACCATTCCACATCAATACCTTGCACACAGTATAGCCCAGGACTTGGTGCTCCAACTTCACCTTCTGCATCTTTGGGATTAAAGTCTAATCTTTGGGATTAAAGAACACTTTGCAATCCTAAACTTTGCAATCATAAGCAAATCAAGGGGGGAAAGAAGGGAGAAGCATCTTCTGGAGGAGCACATACTGTGCAAATAACATGAAACAAGGTTTTTACTCAAAATTTTATATATTTTACTCAGTCCATACATACTTCTAATGGCAAATATTTTGGAAGTAACTTTTTCTTTATATATGATTTTAAAGTATTTAATTCTTGAAAATCATGAGGACCTTCAGTTGTTTTCTCTCTCAAAAGAAAGCAGGAGTCAGCCCTGTGATGCCAGTGGTAACACCAATGTTGGACTAGCTATGAAAGCTAAAGCAGACTCCTGTGTAGCATCATCACAGGTAGGAATGAGGCAGTTTCCAACTGGTATTTTGGAATGAAATAGCATGGGAATCTGAATTGCTCTCTTTCAGTGGCTTTCAGTCATTGTTGGAGAGTATCTTACTCATCTTATTTTGCTTTCTTCTTTTCTTAAAAGAGGTGCTTGAGTTCAATCAGTTTTAATAATCAGACCCAAACACTTGTTACTTCTGGTTTACATTAAATGGCCTCTCTCTTTTTCTTTGCCAATTACTTCAGGCAGAGCTGACTGCAGGCAAACACCGACACCCCAGGACATAATTACCTACCTCCCAGCACCTCACAGTCGCTGTCAATGCTGTCGTGCACCCCTGCAAAGATGTTGGCTAGCGAGGACTTCCCCACGCCGTGCTCCCCGATCAGCACCACCCGGTAGCAGCTGCTGCCAGACTCGGAGGAGATGACGGAGTCGGATGACTCCGAGGACCAGCTCCTTCTGTAATATTCATCAGGACTGATGGTGTATCGTTTCTGTGGGTTGTACTCATTGGAGTCCTTCTGGACCAGCAGATTCTTTCCATCAGCAGGGATGCTCCATCGCTGCTGCTGCTGGTGCAGACTGCTGTTGTGGGTGCGACGCATGGTAACGTTGTTGAGAGTCATTTTTAACCCCTAGTGAAAAATAGGGAAATCACTAATGTTACCCACAAAATATTTAGAAATGCTGTCTTACTAGCTTAGGACCTAATATGTGAGAAAAGAAAAATTAGCCTTTCTGCACTCTAGCGTACTTGGTAGTGCACAGAGCAATATTTTAGTTATTGGCTAGTGAGAGAGAGACTGTTTCCCAGGGATAATACCACCCTCACATGCTAAATCCTATCTTGTTTAGCCTTTACTAGCTCACGGCTGTGCTGGGTGCAGCCCAGTCCTGGAAAGAGGGAGGCATTGCTGCATCCCAGGAGGAGAAGGAGGGGACAGTGCTCACCACACCGGTCCTACACAGCAGCTGCAGCCTTGCCGAGAGACTGCCTGTGGTACAGGCAACGTTCACCTCCTTTTGGAATCACTGGGGACAGACAGAGACGCTGGTCTCAGTTGCCTCCAGCTGCCGGAGCAGCTGGGTGTACAGCATCTTTCTCATTGACTCAGTTAAGAGCTGAAACTCTTGGGAAAGCAATAAGTCATAATTCACTGCACTCTTGAGACAACCCTGGTACAAAAAGTCATGCAAGCAAGTCTTGCTGTGATGGGGTGGATTTGGGTCTTGTCTGTGGCCAGGTAAACAAAGAACGATTCTGCCTCAGACAGTGACTTTTTGGCTGGTAAGAGGGAGGACATAGTGAAATCCAACAGCTTTTCTGAGGAGGTACAAGTTATAGCTTCAACAGGAGATAGAACTGAGATAAAAGGTTCATTAATTTATAGATATTAAATCAATAACTTAATTACTGCACAATTAATTAGATAGGTTCATTCTTCTTACATAAGCATAGCTCTTAATTACATTTTACTCGGCAAACTCTATTTTGCCTTGCTTGGAGGCAGAGAAGAGTGATGTCATTCTCACAGGCCAATACCTACCATTTTTAGGAAAGCTACTTTGATGCACTCCAGTTCCCAAAGTGACCATTATTCAGACATTTTTCTTTTTTGCCCTATATCTGATGTTTCTTGGCTCTCTCCTCCATATCAGTAAATAGGATAGTTGTCCATAAAATTCACCCAGCTACTTTCAAAGCTCAATAATAAGTGATGAACAGTAAAAAGTACAGTAAAGCAACATGTACAAATTGCTATTCTTCTTCATACAAAACTGTCTGAAAATTTCAGTGAATAAATTCCCAGCAGGACCAAGGACAAAATATATAGAAAAAGCACTATCTGAATTTACTACAGAATACACAATATTTTCTCTGTGATGTGCAGTACTTTGGGGCAGAAGGAGATCGTTTTCATGGTCCTAGTCACAGTAACTTTGTCAGCAAGAGATACATCTAAAGAAGAAATCACGTACTAAGCAAAGACTTCTTCGCAAACAAACTTAAATATTTGCTGTGGTTGAATTCTGAAATGCACTTTTTCCTTCAGTATCCCCATTGAAAAGATCAGATGAGAAAATCCAGATCTCATTCAAACAACAGAGTAACTTACAACCTGCAACAAGCAGTCACTCACAAAACCATCACAAACACAAATATTTACAATTTAGCCTCTCACAAATTGTCATCCCTCATTAAAAAAAAGCCAAAGGAGTCCCTGTCACACACTGTGCTCCAAGTTCAAACTGGTTTTGCTACCCCATACTGCATTTAGCTGCCTGAGTCTGCAGCAGCTCCAGGAAAAGACTGGGTCCAAATCCCCTCTTACTTGTGCCAGGCTCCCGCAGCCAGTCCAGTCCTTTGTTCCCCCTGCCCTTCTCTCTCGGTGGGCTGTGACACACTGAGCAGCTCTGCCGAAGTAAATCCTCTCCTGCTTTGGGACTGCCTCTTTAATTCTTTCTCAGCAAACCTGGTTTATATTAAGCCCATCTGATCAGAGACAGGGCTTTTCCGTGACGTGGCCGGCCTTCCCATACAACAGCCAGCCCCCAGCTGGGGGAAAGCAGACGTGCAGCAGAGAAAAACTTGCAAACAATCTCAAAAGACTTACTCAAAATCATGTGATTGTTTCAATATTGCCAGTAAAATAAACACTTTTGGTTCTTGCGTGATGAAAACAGGAAAGTGGAACAAAAATAAATAATAGATGTCATTTAGCCTCAGAGAGCTTTTAATTCAAATGTTATCAAAATTAATGATGGTTTAAAAATCACCTAAGTTTATTTAATGCATTAAATTCTGTAAATGTATTATGTATCTGTTCTCTGTCTGCAAAACACACTTAACCCCCTGCTGGACAAAACATTTCTCTGGAATAAAATATCTGAATGTTATTTTGAAATTTTTTAGAAGTAGGAATATTAATTCTAGGGGCTTTGTTGGGGTTTTGTTTGTTTCTTTGTTTCTAAAGCACCAATATTTACAAATGTGTTATTCTCTGTCAGCCTCCAAGTGACTGTACCCAGTCTTCTGAACTGCATAACCATCTCTTTCTCACTTCTGCTTCAATATTTTACTACCAAGGGCTTGAAAAGATATCCAAATATGAATTCAGTGTTGCTGCAGCTGGATGTTGGCAAAAATGCATCAGAACACACAAAGTCTGCACAAAGTCACACAGTGTTGACACTGTGCACAGGAACAATCACTATATAGTGTACATGCCCCACAAACTCAGGGTCTGGTCCTTAAATTTTTATAGCCTCATAGCTGATTGGCAGAAGAAATTTTGCCAGAAGGCAAGAAATCCAAACCTGTTGAAACTTGCAACAACATACTTCTTCATTAGCAAAGGAAGAGTAAGAAACCATGACAGAACTACTTACTAGGGCTACCACAACTTTTATGTAAGTATACACAAACCCTGTAGTCAGCTGCCAGTTATCCAGACTCTGGATTAAATATAATGAGCTCCTACCACTTTCTTTTATATTTTCATATTTACATTTTATATTTACAATCTCCTGGTCCCTGAATCAAACAGAAAAGTTCTTATCCTAGAAGTCTGAACAACTTTGGCTTCAAACAGGGGGAATAATTTTTTTTCCATGCTACAGGCAGGCAAATCTTTAACTGACTATGTACCTTTATTGAAAGGAATACTGATGTGCAGAAAATATCTCTTGTTAACACTGCAATGGAAATCTCCTTGCCTTATTTCCCCATTGGCTTTATTGCATTCCTGTATCTTTCATGAGGGTTTTCAGGGACTTCCTGAGCCATTCTCAAGTTTTAAAAGCCAAGAGCTTTTCACAAAGTAATAGGTACTCATCAGTATACATGAAAATTATGCAGATCTACTAAGGGTAGAATGGGCAAAAATCTGCCCTGACTTTCTTTCACATGTATTTCAGTGCTTGGCAGCAGCTCAACTGGCCCCAGGTCCTGCATCTTCACCTCACCTGTCTCTTACTCATCAGGGCCTCTGCTGCTCAGTGATAATCCCAAAGAGCACAAAGTGCCACATCCCTCTGTGTAGGTTGTACAGAGGGGCTTGTAATACTTACTGCACAAAATGTAACTAGATCTCTATCCAGGAAGGTTTGTGGCATGGACAGTACTTTGCAAAAATACCTTTCCTGTTGGCATACCCAACTGAAGTTGCTCGTTTTTTTTGAAACGTGCTGGAAACCATGAAGGTGAGTGGGTGGTTGGAGCAGTATGGACCTCAGGTTTGCATAGCTCTCTGTAAGTTGTCTGTAATTTGTCACTGCTCAGTAAAAACGCAAAACTTGTCCACTGCAGGACTGGAGAGATTTATGGCCAGTGATTGCAGCAGAACTGCAGGCTCTAATGTCTCACCCAAATGTTTAACATATATCACAGCAGAAAGTGCAGACAGAAGAAATAAACGAAAGGCAGAAAAGCCTTTGTGTTTAGTTGTAGTTACTGTTAGATTAGGAATTGCTAGACGTCATCTTTCATATCTTCTTCATAAAATTCAAGACAGACAAAGAAAACACGTCTCTCCAGAATGGCACAATATATCTCTTCCCTAAAGCCATACAGAAGAGTTGTCCCAACATGGCATGATCTGCTTGTACTTGGGGAACTTGCACATGTGTTTTCCTTTGTACTGTCTCTTCTGAGCCTACTCTGGTTTTCCAGTGCACAATTAACTCTCCAGGTCTCATTCTGCATACACATCCACAGGATGTGACGTTGTTGCTCCTCAGGGAATGCCGTCAGCACTCATGAACTTCACTCACTCTATCTGTGGGTGAAACATATTTTTAACTGTTTTTAAAGCTGGGGAGAGATGCAGCCTTTTTAGCCTCTGGGTACTTACTTACAAGGGATAACAGCAGGTTGATTACTGAAATATATGAACTGAGTCCTTCTTAGGGACAAAAACAATCCCATGGATTGATTGAGACTGGCGCAGTCCTGGTCTGTTCAGCCCTTTTGCACTCGTTGCTGGTCAACATTTCTGCAAGTCTCGAGCCTGCCCAACGCACGGGCAGGAGAAGAGACAAACCATAAGGCCAGTGCTGTCGCAAAGCACACGAGTGCTTGAACGTAACTGCCCGCTGCAATATCAGAAGTCAGAGGCAGTGTTTTTCTTCCATCTTATCCACTCTCTGTTTCATTAATCACATCTTAAAGGAATTCTCCCTGCAGCCAGGATGAAGTAAACATTGAAGAGTAGCAGTTCTGCAATCCTTCCCCAGCCAATTACAATTAGACCAGGTGATGCCCAGAGCAATTAGGCAGAAATTTTCCATTGGATATAAAAGCAGTGCTTCTTAGCTGACACTTAATTAGCCAGTTTGAATTTATGTATATGATGGTAAAAGTAGTTCCTCAAATCTTCTGGTGTAAGGGTTGTCCACAGAAAGGACATAAACCATATTGGAGTAGGAGGGGAATTCCGGGGAGGAAAAAAAAAAAAAAAGCAGGAAAAACAAAATTCAGATTTACTTTAATGAAAACTAAATGCAGCATGTTTGAAAGTGCCTTTTCTCCCTATACATCCAGCAGAGAAGTTCACCTGCTTCATTCCCCTCAGAAAGCCTGGCTTTGTAGACTTTGTTCCCAACAGTGAGTTGCCTGCCCAGGCAATGAATGAGGTCTGCCTCGCCTCCAAACCATTGTGGCATTTCAGACTTTTCTCTGCTTCTCACATCTTGCAGTGCTGGCAGACCCTGGCTATTCTCAACCCTACCAACAACAGCAGCTATGGACAGAAATTAATTTGGGTGCTGGGCTGGATAGTGCTGGACATGCTGGGAGTGCCCACAGTCACTGCATGCCCTCCCTAGGGAAGCTGCTCCATTGTCACCATCCATTCCTACTGCACAGGCAGCCACAGGCAGCTGGGCAAGCAAATGTAGAACAAAAGGCAAAAATAGATGTGGGATGAAGCAGCATTGAGCCCACAGCAATGGGACTGTTGGATTACTTACACCAACAGCTTTGCCTTTTCTGATCCCAATTCACATCTGATGACTCAGTGTCAAATTTCATACTGACTGAAAAGGTGCAAGGGTTCAAACACTCTGAGACTGGAATGTATGAGGTAGGGAAATGAAGGATTATGTGCCTGAGGTAAATTACTGAGGGTGTTAAGAGGGGGACAGGGCAGAGAAAGACACTGAGAAATTAAGAAATAATAAAACATTGATTAATTTTAAGGGGCACAGTCAGAAGCACCTGAAAGTGCCAGCATCAAATTTTAAAAATAGCCATTGCTCTTTTCTGTGGTGTAGATTTGGTCAACGCGGTTCCTAGAGTTGCTTGCAGGGAGTACTGCATTTGTTCCACCAGCTCCTTTCCTTCCTTTCCTTCCACATCACAGCAGCATTTTTACAAATCTTTAACTGAGCACTAAAAGCAGAACATGGCCCTTTGGTGATGAGCACAAGGATAGGGAAGAAGCACTGATCTACACAAGTTAGCTGTAAAAGCCAGCATTAGAGCTCTCAGGGAACAGGATTGCCTTTAATCAGCTGACCCATTGGAGAACCTCTTATTAGTCTATTAATTGCAGATAATCTGGATTCTGATGTACCAAAAGGAATGTGTGTTCTATATCTGTGCACTGCAGAGCTTTGTTGACTATAACCGGTGTCCAAAGGTATTTTCCCCATTAATACATTAAGCCAGCACAGTGGAAGACTCAGCAGAAAATGAGAAATGAGCAGCCACAGGAAGCAATGCAGTTCAGTTCATAATAAAATACAAGTTACTTTTTAGTCTAGTTAATGAAAAAGAAATTAAAACAACTGCCAGCTTTGAGGGGACAAAAAGGAGCAATGATAAAGAGTAAATGGCAAAACTGGATTATTTCAGTAAGAGTTACTTAGCAAAAGGACTGACTATTTCCCACACTTGCACTCAATGATGTTAATGAATTCTGCCAATAATTGTCCAGGGAATGGGATTAAGTCATAAATGACATAAATAAATGTGCTTTTCAATGCAAATTCTTTAAAAATCGTAATATACTAGTAATAGTAGGATGTGAGGTAGTTCTTCAAATGTTCTTCAAATCCTGAGCTAAAAAAAACTTTAGATGAATGGCACCAGCACAGAAGATTTTTTTTTTTTTTTTTTTTTTTTTTTTTTTTTTTTTTTTGTGGCTGGGATCCCCGTAGTATGCCACAGACTTTAGTGCAATCAGGTTCAGGAGCCACTGTGTCCTTTTCAGCTACAGGATTCACAGAATTTTATACCTCGATTTTATACCACTAATTTAACAATAGGCAACTGCTGCATCAGCAAACCATAGGTTAGAAACATCAGCAAAACAATGATCGTGTTCTGATCTTCAGACCTGCCAAAGGGAGATCAATAAAAAGGTCTTTTACTCTAAATGCAATTTCTTCTTTACTGTAGTGTCCAAGACTTTTACACTGAGTGCAGTCAACAATGATTATCAATACTTAGGCATACTCACACAGAAATACAAAGGAAGCCCTGCCAATAGAAGCAAATCTACTTTAAAATCATTCCACATGGTGTCCAGATCTTGACTTTCAGGTCCTGATTGCATTTATCTACACAACAAGCCAGCCTGGGATGGCAAGAGAGCACTACTGAGCTCTCTGACCCACCTTGGCTTGCAAAACACTTTCTGGTTTGCATCATCAGAAAACGCTGTGGACTCGTTGTCTGAGTG